ATAAGGTTAGCTTGACATAGGGCCAACACAGCAATTTAGAAATCAAATCTATATTATTAAAGAAGGGATGATCCCTACCCGTTACCCATTACCTACTTGTGAATTTGCTTGCGTGTATCTAATATATATGCTTATGTTTTATAGTGTACACACGCACAAATACATATATAGAATTTGTTTGGTTTGGGAATAATGGCAATGCTAATAATAACCGTTTTCTTATAAGGAAACATTCGACTTTTATTGATAGGACAGGCATTGCTACTGTCAGTTGAAATTTCTAAAATATTTCTCTTAAATCGATTTTACAGGAAAATAGGCTTCTCAAGCCCAGTAGCAGTTATCGCCCTTTGCATTAAAATTTTTATTTCATAAAGTCCGCAAGAGATTTATTTATTTATTTTTATTTATTTTGTACTGTTCTTTGTGTGGGATTCTGTAGCGTCGGTTCACACTATTCGAAGAAGGATGGTCTTCGACAAGATCCACAATGCTATTTTCAAACATTGATCTTCGAAAGCTGCTGTAGAACGCTGAGAGTTTAGATGTTTCTGAACGGATTTGGCGCCATATTTGGCATCCCGATGGAAGTCTTGATTTGATGGAGCTTGATTAAGAACATGCCTTGAGTTTTTGGCCAATGCTTTGTAGGCAAACCACCTCTAGCCCAGTCTATTCTATGTTCAATATCCTTATCTCCTATAATAAACTTCTCGTAACTGTTCCCTTTTGACTCAGTCTAGACAACCTCTACATTTCGTTTGAGTATCAAATAGTAGCTTTGGAGAAAAAGTTAAATTCGAATTCTAAAACATGAGACCCTTTCAATATTTTATGGAACTTTTCCGAAAATTATTATTCTTAAAGCATTTTATAGAAATAAGTTTTTTCGTAATTGTATTATAATTAACCGTTTCTCTATAAGGAAACGTTCGTCAGTAGTTGACACAGAGACAGCACTATATGCTGCAATCTATAAAACCTTTCTCTTCAAGAGAAAACTCAGGAAAATAGTTTTTTCAAGCTCAGTTGATAATATAAAACTTTCTAGCATTGAATGTGGTGGGTGAGTTGCTCTGTAACGTTTTCTTTGAATTAGTGCTGAAGGTCAAATTCTTGATTATGCCATTATTTTATCTTCATGTTAAATGTACAATTCCTTTTGGTTGTTGCCGATTTTGAATATCCGCAAATCTCTTGTTTGGTGGGATTCTGTGTATTTCTCTAGAAGACGTTCCAGAGTAGCATGGTTCCCGCTAGGAGCTGCAAGCATAATTCCCTCCGAGCTATTCCTTACCATTAATCTGAGAAAACGGATGTATTTAGGTTAGATAATATGTGAACATTTTGGGGTATAAGAATGTCTCGATCTGACGAGGCTATTTAAAAAACATTAACCTAGTTTATAGTTTAAGGTTTCCTTTTGTTGCAGTTTACGGATATCATCCTGGGTATGACTATAAACTACACCCGGCAGCAAGACTTCTGATGCGGAGGTACTGAGGATCCTGGAACCAGCTAAATTGTTGTTCCCAGGTCAACCCTGACGCGAGATATTAGCACCTGTTAGATTCACAACTATGGACAAAAAGTTAACCTCGAAATTGTGGTCAAAATGCTATGAAAGTCTAAAAAAAATTAGAGTAAAAATACAAGTAATAGCTTTTAATATAAAAACAAATTACCAGCAAGACATTCCTCTAAGAAAAAAACTACTTGTAATACGTTTCTTGTACGGTGGAGTAATGGATAGCGTCTCGGATTGCGGAATCGAAGAGCCGAGTTCGAATTCCAGTCTAATCCACTACATTTAATTACGTCCAAATACCCTTGGGGAAGGTATAAATCCTCTTCTCCCCCACCCATAAATAGCAAGACAGACCGGATTCTGTAGCCTTGGATGGCAACTGGTCCACCACAGAAAGAGATGACAACCTGTTGCGGGAATAAAATCTTCTTCGTCGGTCATGTATCGAAAGATACGTGATCAGCCTAAGTGTGTATCACGCATGCGAAATAACTGACGTAACAAAACAGTTACCAGCTATAGTTTTTGTTTTTTTTTTGTAAAAGAAAAATAAAATTAACATCAAAGCATATCTGTAAAGAAATAAGTAATGCTCCCAAGAAAATTAAATTTCGGCATTAAATGACCCATAAAGATTTTGATATGCCGCTAAACAAAATTCATCAATAGATTGGCCTAAAGAAAATAAATTGCACGCTGTTATCTATTACTCGATTCGTTTGGGATATCTTTTAACTTCTGTACTTGCATATGCAAAGAACAAAGTCTAAGAAAAGAATAAAATGATTTCTGCTTTCATTTCTGTCTTGTTTAGTCTTGATGAAGATTGAAATGTTCTGTACTTGTGTCCTCGTTCGAGCTGTACGATTTTGTCTACATATATAGTTCCTCTATTAGATAAAGACATTCAGTTGTTTCGAAGCCTTTTCCAAAGCATTTTCTAATGGATGCGAAGAATTACTCCCTCTTGGTGGGATCGTACGCTGCTGTGGGGTCAAATTAGCAGGTATAGAATTTTCTGCAGGAAAGCTATGCAATTTCCTGGAGTTGTTTGATGACATATATTACAACCATTACCAGAACGAAATCCAAATTGGCTTGTGAGAAGTTGATATTTCAAAAACCATGACAGCCTAGATAATACAGTGTTCATTAATACTTTTACCATAATGGATCCAGTTGAGATTATCTCTTTATGTAGGGTTTTGATGACTACATTTTATTTCAGTAGTGATTTAATCAGCGATATCCCACAATGTTTTGGAGATGAACTTCTGATTCTAGATGTCTTTCATGAAATTGGGAAACTTGTATTTAGGAAGAAGGTATACTATTTTCAAAAGTTCAGTCCCAATGTCTAGTTCTGTTTTATTATTCTTCAGATTTTCATAGCTTTTTTACTTGTAACTAGCCTATTGATTGCTTACATTTGGAGACAGATTTTGCAATGATCAGATTTTCATAGCTTTCTTTACTTGTAACTAGCCTCTTGATTGCTTACATTTGGAGACAGATTTTGCAATGATCAGATGTATATAGATGTATGTTCTATTTCTCTGGGCGTCTTCAGCTTAGTGTGGTCAGGGTTCAAGTGTGACATAATGATTTTGTAAGACCAGGATATCGTTTTTGAGTTGGTTTTGATCGTATGATGCTACCATGATTTATCGCCTTTCTCCGCACATCAGCCTATTGTTGATACTGTTTGGCTTTATTACTTTCTTTTACAATTTTCAGGATACATTATTTTTCACAAAGTATTAACTTATTTTTATTTTCCTTGTTAAATTATAAGTTTACGGCATTCTATTTTTCTCCCTTAAGTGTATCATTTCTTTTCAAGTCAGAATTGTATCTTTTTTCCCTCTAGCTATTCATGGAATGATCTTGTGCGGATCTATTACGCACGAACATACATGCATACAAAAATACAAATCACATATAACGCCAAGCATTCATTGGTTAATTAATCACCACTGCGTTATTATAGGCGATTTAAAAATCGCAGCAATGCGACCATTTTGTAATCGCTCTATTTTTAAGTAGTAAATTTTGAGCACTTTTGGGAGAAACGGAGAACAGAAGCTCCCGATGCCAACCAATCTGAGCGTCTGCACGTGAAGAATAATAATTCTTCCCGCGCAGCGATTTGGAGCCTACAGTCGCTTATATAAGTTAAGGTCTATTCCAACTGCCAAACGAGTCCACGACAGTTGAAACCATGCGCCAAATTTCTCACTCACACAAACCACTCACATGCTGAACATACTTTGTACACACTCACATAAACTCTTCTTACACAACAATATCTTTCAAGAACAATCATTACAAGAGACTCTCATGAATATTCTTCCAGTGAACTTTAGAACACTAAAATAGCAGCTAAAGAGAGACAACTCTTGGTTAATTCAACCTTTTCTTACTTAAATGCATCACATTCCTTCACATCGTTGTTTGTTATTGTACATCTTGTTAAATACATATTTTATGTGTAACAATGTCTTTTGGTTATCATTTTTCTGCGTGAACCCTGTTTCCTAATCTAAAGTTAAATTAATGTGGTGAAGTCCGCCACAATCTCACACTCCTTAGCTAATAAAGATATAATTAAATTATTTGAAATTTTTTTATTATGATGTTCATCCTGTACAAAGTTCGAGAGCTCCTCGATGTAGCGGGTTATAGAATAAGAGGCATAATTTATATAGATATGTGGGGAAGATAACAGTTAGCCCTAGACTTAAACAGGTTAAGATTGTACTGATCGGGAAAGCATTCTCTTGGGAGACGGTTACACAGAACTGTGGATCGTGGGAAGAAACATCTTGAGTGGAACGTATATTTCACCAAGTCGTTTTGATAAAAATTTACAGACATCAATTTTCCCTGTATTTTACCACAGAAAACTCTTCTTGCACTTTCATGTGAATATGTTTCCCAATAAATGACGTATAATCATAGTGCTGTCAGCGAACGACATGTAACGAAATAGAATTTAATACCTCCTTGCTGCTTTAAAGAATCTAATATATTTAACTCGTATTTTTCTCACAGCACTCGAGGAGGTTTTTTGCAATTTCTCTTCTTATTATAGACGTCCCTTAGTTTTATTAACATAATTAATATTCCGAGTGGTATCCCCATCTTTGCTGATATTATCACAGCATAACTTTTTGGCCGATTCCAAAAACGAACCTCAATCGAGAAATGAATGGGAACGCATTTCATGATTGACTGATTTTTTTTAGGGCTTTTCAACCTTTTTATATGTTATTTAAAGCTAGAAAATATTTTTATAAGAATCTTTTAGAGATAATAATGATTTACTTACAGAAATCGTACTAATTAACCTCTAGCAGGTAGCATAAGTTGTTGTTTCATGCTTTTCCCACGCGTATTTGAGCGTCACTGAATATCACAAAATGCGACTAGATTCCGAGCCGTTATTCATTACTCCACCCACAGATCAAAGCTTACAACACCTGGTATTCCCAAGCGGTCACTCATCTAGATACTAACCAGGATCGGCGTTTCTTAACTTCAGCGATCCTACGAGATCTGGTGTTTCAACGTGATATTTCCGTAAGCATTATGAGAGAAATATTTTTCCCTATATCAGGTGAAATTCAAAGAGAATTCTTCATTTAAAATTTCTGGAGTTTGGAACAAGAGGCGACAAGAAATAATCCTATTCAAAATGGCTTTATGACATCGAGATCATGAATATTATTTCTTTTTATTAGATTTTATAAAAGTTGATACGGTGTCTAGTTTACTGTGAACATTCCTTTTAAATGATTCCCAATAGATGAACCCAAAACAAAATATGTTCCTTCTCTCGATTTATTGGTTTTTTGTTTGTTTTTTTTAAATATATTAATCTCGAGTGATAGTAATCTATATATAAATTTCTGTGACTTCCGGTAGGCTATCCGTCCGTCACACCCTTTAAATTACTCACACGTTGACCGATCGGGACGAAATTTTGGGGAGAAGTATAAACAGGTAAGGGGTTACAAAGTACAGTTACTTTTACTAGGGTGCATAAAAAAACACGAGGTAGAGTTTTTGTCAAAGTTTTTTTTTCAAACAAATCAGCATATTCAAATTTCATCGATTGGTTTTTGAAATTGAACGAAACGTCGAGTACATCTCGATGAAAATTGTTAGGAATAAGTTCAACAATACTAAATAATGTGAGGCTTTCAGCAAGCGTCAGAGTTGTAAAATATTCTAGTATATGAAAAAGTACTCCCGATTATGAATTAAGAAATTTTTTTTTTTTAAATTTAATAATTTTCTCGAATGGATCTTTTTTTGGCTACCGAGGGCGTTCATTTTACAAGGAATCTAGATTGGAAAACAGACCCAATTATTAACTTCTGTAAAATTAATTTTCTTTTTTGATATTGGCAGAATGATTAACCTATATTATTATGAAAAGAAAGCAGAAAAAATATTGTACACTCATCTAGGTACTGATAAGTCATGACGTTGCTTAACTCCGGTGATCGTACGAGAAACGGTGTTTCAATGTGATGTGGTCGTCATTCCAGAATACATTCCAAGACTTAAGAAAAACAGGAGATAGATATTTGTATTCTGTAGATTTTAATAATGTTTATATAAAGATTTCTTTTTAAGAAATAAAAGCGAAATGCAATTTCGCGGGCCGAATTTTTAATCGACCTATATGAGATTTCAAAGCGAAGGTTTAAAATGTTATAATTCGCTACTTGAGACAGTAAAATCAGATTATCAATGTACTTACGCCAATCATTGCTATAAGTACTTAATCTAATACTGTCATTTATGAAGATGCAACTCATCAGAATATAAATTAAACACATTTGTGAATTAAGACGTACAAAGCAGATACACACACACATTTGCGCCCGTGAGGGCAAATACACACATATATATGTATATAATTTCAGGTAAACTAATAAAAGAAGAAATCAACGAAGAAAAATTAAAAGAAATAAAAGAAAAACTCTAAACTAAATAATAAGCAAATTAACGCACTTGCAATGTAGACATAAACACAGGAACAGGTAATAATAATAATAATAATAATAATAATAATAATAATAATAATAATAAAGAAATAAAGAATCAATAATGAATAATGATTAAAAAGATAACAAGACTATAAAAAACCTACAAACAACCGCATTCTGATTCGAACGTTATTTTCACTTAATATCCTTTAGGATAATTTGAAGTATAACTTTTATTGCTTACACTGTAAACGTTAAATAATAACATAATATAACTTACCAGCATATATAAATAGTCGACACAAAATACAACACGCATGGTCTGAAGATGTCGTTTAAATATGAAACAGACTGTCGCAGATTGGTGTTGACTTCAGAGTCCATATATATATATATATATATATATATATATATATATATATATATAAAACATGAGGTAGAGTTTTTGTCAAAGTATTTTCCAAACAAATCAACATATTCAAATTTCATCGATTGATTTTTTTGAAATTAATCGAAACGTCGACTTTGTACATCTCCATGAAAATTGTTAGGAATAAGTTCAACAATACTAAATAATGTGAGGCTTTCAGCAAGCGTCAGAGTTGTAAAATATTCTAGTATATGAAAAAGTACTCCCAATCATAAGCAGTTGGTATGACGTTTGCACGATAACGTGACTGTCAGGGTTTCAATTCTCGGTAGTGGATGTGCACTGCTGATGAGTCCCAAATATAGGACGAAACGGCCGTCCAGTACTTTCTGCATTCTGTTGAGGTTTCTTTCAGACTCGATGAATTACTAAATTATAATTATCGAATACTCCTAATAATTTCTATCACACACACTCATACATATATATCTTTATATATATATATATATATATATATATATATATATAAAATCTTAAAGAGCCAGGAACTACCTACATAGGTTTCACCTAAGAGGATCTTCAGAGCAAACTTTTATTTTATTTACTTGAGTGTTTTTTTTCTTTGGACTGGAAATTAAGGAACTGGACAATTTTTGTGTCCCGCTTGGATGTTTCTAGTTCTTTCTATATTTTCAATTTTTCCCAGTTTGTTCCGATATATTTATATTTGCGAATTGCGTCATCCGGGTTTTTTTCACCAACCGAGTATAGTTACTAATATAATATATATATATATATTTTAAAGGATGTTAGATTTCATTGAAAAATACATCCCTACCCACTACCAAAAGTTGCAATAACTGATACATTAAAATATAGACATATTGAACACCTAGACACCCCTGTCTAGAAAAATAGATTTATCTGTAACCTTGGAAACATGAATTTTGTTTTAGCTGTGTATTTAAAACCCAGTAATTTTGAAAGTTACTCCAAAATTCACTTGAGGATGAAATGGAACTAATGTCTTTAATTTAATTACAAATTAAATTCGGGGCTTTTAGCTTCCATTTTTGAAACATGGTTAGAACTGTGTAGCGAAAAAAACATATTTTAAATCAATTAAATTATAATATTAATGCTCTGTAAATTTACATCGAGCACTGTTTTGTAAAAATAAAAATATCTATAAGAACACCGGATTATATATCTTACTGTTCTTTCTTTCTTTATATATATATATATATATATATATATATATATATATATATGCATATATATATTGTATGTCAGTTCATTTAGATGCAATGTTACTGGTAAACCAGTACTATTTGTAGCATGGTCAGGAAATAGGCGACTAAACTGGTTCCCCCACCAGGTTAACCTGGTGATGAGGGTGGCTAGAAACCCTGAAGGTGAAAAACCAGACCTGTCAAAATGCGGATGAAACTTTTCGAGAGGTCAACGGCCATCTGCATATCTCTTATGTCAAGTTTGTTTGACTGCTATTACTAAAGCCGTAAACAAGTTCAACCTGTTTCAGCCGACAGAGAGGTTAGACACTGTGATAAAAAACCCAGCCCCATTAGGTGTCCAGTCATCTCAAGACGCTTGTCACTGGGTAAATTCCTAAAAGAGTAGAGAAAGTACCATATGTTTCGCACAAGCATGTTATATCGCCATCCTAATCTACAAAGTCCTATGGCGATGGAGGAGTAGCAACGTGTGCAAGATTGACGGCCTGGGAGCAGATGGTCACAAATCTGCACATAGAGGGCTTTGGGATCATCTAACGTCGCTGTTTTGCTGGTTGAACAGCAGCATCTTTCGGTGGATTCATTAGTATCTGAACAGCCCTAGCCAGGGAAAAAACTGCTCACCCATGAATTTGAGAAGGGTTTAGAAACAGTGACCTAAACTAAAACACTGTTCCTTTTTCCGGCTGGCCGGCTTCGGCGGTGAAATAAGAAAATAAAAATTCAAAAATCATAATCCAAGAGACACTTCATGAAAGACGGTTCTTGGAATGTGAGGTCCCTTTCAGATAGTGATCAAACTGCCATTGTAGCAAAGAAATTATCAAGGTACAATAATGAAATAGCGGCACACACTGAAACCCGCTTAAGCGATGAGGATCAACTGATGTAAAAAAAAAGGCAGGCTACACTTTCTGTTGGAAGGGTAATATCTGCAGGTGAGAAACATTCTGCAGGAGAGGTGTAAGGTTTGCAATTAAATCTGGTCTTGTTGCACATATTGAGCATCCTCAAGGCATAACTGACAGAATCATAAATATTCGTATGTCATTGCCAGGAAGAAGATTCATGATATTAATCTCTGTCTATGGTCCAACCATGCCCAATATTGAGGAAATGATAATTGCTTTCCACGAAGACCTCCATTCTCCATTTTGTCGTTTTGGACTTGATAAGGTAAAAAGCAATGGTTTGCAACTTCTTCAGCTCTGCAATACTTTCTTTCAACAAAAAGAGATCCATAAGCTAACCTGGATTCACCCACAGTCTCGCTATGGTCGCATTGATTACATAATTTGTCGTCAACGTGACCTTCAAGATGTTTGCTGTGTAAGAGTAATGAGGGGAGTAGAATGTGGTACTGCTTATAAGGATGAAAAAATCCCCAAATGGGTTGAGCTGAATAAGTTGAGGTATCCGGTGGTACGGGAAGAGCTTTAAAAAGCTATGGAAGTCTCTCGGTTTGATGGTTCGTGGGAAGATTTTAAAAAGACCATAAACAACATCAGTGTTGATGTCTTGGGTTTAAGAAAAAAGAAACATCAATGAGAATAATCTCAAAATCAACCAGCTTCTTCAAATTAAAAAACAATCTTTATCAGAAGACGTTGAGTGCATCTGAGAGTGATCATCACTCATTTTGCGAGTCCTTTAAGGTCTGTAGGTCCTCTTTTCAAAGTAGATTACAACAATTAAGATTCAATGGTGGCATGATATTTTCAAACAGATTCAGATGCCTACAATCGTAAAGACTCAAAGGTAATGTATGACCTATTAAGAAAAGCCTTTGGGCCCCAGTTAACATCTGTAACTCTTCTGAAAACTAAGTATAGAACTAATCTCCTTAAAGATTCCAAAATATATTACAGCGTTGGATTGAGCATTTTCGGATTTGTTTGATAATCCTTCAATTGTTTATTTGAACATAATGAACAATCTGCCTCAGACGGATGTTGTG